AGTACGGCTAGCCACTTCGATAATTAATCTAGATCTAGATAAATAACGACTCTAGATCTAGATCTCGCAGATCTCTACTAAATCTAGATATTAGATCTAGAATCTAGATTAAGTCAGTTGTTTCCCTCTTCTCCCAAAAATTAGCATTAGGCTACGAATTTTTCGAACTTTGAAGGACTGTAACTACGTTAAAAATTGAAGTACAGTGGTTATTTTGTTATCAAAATTCTCAGAAAAGTGAGTTCTAGATTTAGACATCTAGACCTAGAATCTAGCCCATTAAAACATTGTTGTATCAACAAAAAAAAATTAAATAGGTTGAAAAATCCTCCAGACACGGTCAATGGGAAATAACCGTGAAATTACTGTGGTGAAGGATTTTATGGATTGATGCCCTTAGATTGCCGCCGGAGAATTTCCGATGAAATAAATATTATTTCAAATTAATAAATAAAAGAAGAGAACTTGCATAGATAAGGTATGGATTACTATAAAATCAAGCTAAGAAGATGTATTTAATTTTAATATTATTTCTAGAGGTTGAGACAACAAAATTATGCAAATTCAGCTTTTGCGCTTCTGGTAAAGCATGGACTGTCGACCTTTGGTCACGAAAAAAAAAAAAATGAAAAGGAGATGAAAACTATTTAAAACGTGCTTACAGAAGACACATAGAAGTTTAAAACTAAAGTTCCAGCGTAAGTTTATTTTAGATGGTTTAGTAGACGTATTCCTAACTCGAGCACGTGCTTTAGGCGAAACGAATAAATCCTAGTTTTGCAGATTCCGGATAGTCGAAAAGAATTTCATGGGTTATTGCCCTTTGACCGTTCGTGATTTCACTGTAACGAGTATATAAACTAATGTCGCATTAAATTTAGGGGAAAGTGATCACAGCAACAAAATATTGCTTTGAAAATTTAGGGGGCAACTCTAACTTGGGTTGTGCACTGCACCAGAGCAACAAAATCTAAAACTATTGAAGAGAACGTGTATAAATGTGAATATTAATTATTGTAAAGTGGACTGCGCTTCTTTTGTGTGCCATCTAATGTAGATCTAGAGCTAAAACGTTGTCAATCTAACTTAAATTACTATTTTAAAAATTCATGTCTGCTGTTTACTCCAAAGTGGAAAAACATAGGAGTGAGGAAGTGTCTGTTATGGTTGTGATTGTTTGTTTCGTCGTCAAATTGTGTAAAAGAGTTTCTCAAACGTATTTTTGCGAAATTTCACGATCATGTATTCTAACTTTGAATTCTAAACTGTTAAAACTGTAGCACTGGTACTACACAGTATACACTATACACCCGCCAATCCATGCGACTGCGAGCAAACTCTTAGTCTTAGCCTAGGCCAAGATCTAGAGATCTATAATACTTCTTGGCGCATTTTGTTTTGTTAACGATGTGGTTCGTGGAGATCATATATGCATATATGTTCTTTGCAGTACTATTAGCCTAGTTATCTAGATGTAGATCTAGATTTAGGTCTATGTCCAAAGCCTTTAAGCACGATGAGGATGTGGTTGGTGTGTGTGTGGGGGGGGGGTTGTTAATGTTACAGCACAGGGCACAGATGGCCTCAGTATTATTTATTTATTTAAGTTTGTACATTTAATCTAGAATCTATGTAAAAGTGTAATAAAGTGTAGATCTTCAGAAAAAATCTTTAACGATCATGAATAGGCCTAGACACTTTCATCCCCAAGACCATGCACATAATAAAGAAGCCCCTGCTACTCCTTGTCGATGGCCACATCAGCCATACCTCGCTGTTTGAAACTTCAGAGATCTGCGACATTCTGCGAGGCCAATGGCATCATATTGTACTGTCTCCTGGCACATGCCTCCTATCTCATGCAGCCCTTAGATCAAGCATTCTTTGGCTCCGTGAAGTGTACATGGTCTGATGCTAGCAGAAGGCACTTCGCTGAGACTGTAGATGCAGTCGGGCTGGACACCTTTGCGAAGGTTTTTCAGCATGTCTGGCAGAAGTGCGCAACGACTGAGAATGCCCAGTCCAGCTACAGGGCAGCAGGTATTTTCCCTTTTTGCCCCCAGAGAGACCTGGAGAGCAAGAAGATGAACAGGGTTGGGTTGATTTAAATCAGGTTGATTGAAATCAGTTGATTTTTTAAATTTAAATCAACTTGATTTTTTAAGTAAAAATCAGTGATTTATATCACTTTTTTAAACATTTATTTTTATTCAGTTTTTACACATTTCAACATTCAGAATTCCTTTCCTTGGTTTTATTAAACATATATAAGATTTAGTAGACTAATATAATCATGCTTAAAAGTCTGCTTTCCCCCCTTTCACTGTAAAATAATACAGTATTCAATTTACTTTTTTTTTCCAATTGAAATCAGAGCTGGGTTGATTTATATCAGTTTATTTTTGTTATTTTAATCAACTTGATTTTTAAAATAAAAATCAGTGATTTAAATCACTTGTCATAAAAATGTATTCAGTTGTTACATATTTAAACATTCAGAATTCCTTTCGTTGGTTTTATTAAACAGATATAGGGTTTAGTAGACTAATATAATCATGCTTAAAAGTCTGCTTTCCCCCCTGTCACTGTAAAATAATACAGTTCTCAATTTACATTTTTTTCATAATTGAAAACCAGGGTTGGGTTGATTTAAATCAGGTCGATTTAAATCCGTTGATTTTAAAAATAAAAATCAGTGATTTAAATCCTTGGTTTTATAAAACAGATAAGGTTTAGTAGACTAAAATAATCACGCTTAAAAGTCTGCTTTCCCCCCTGTCACTGTAAGTAGTAAAATAATACTGTATTCAATTTACTTTTTTTCATAATTGAAATTAGCATTTTCTTTTTAGACAAACACAAGCGCGCGCACACACACGCACTCTAATAAAATGCAAGTTTATCTATGCATAATTACCCCCCTCCTTCCTTATAGACTGACAATTTCTTCATTTTTTGTCTGTAGCCATAATTCACTGATATAGCAGATTAAGGCTTTCTAAAATTGCAGTTGCTTGAATTAATCATTAGTTAAAATAAAGACAATGCATTTTGCACTAAAAGAACTTACTTTTAGCCACCAAAAATCCCAAACTGTGTCGACATTTAAAAAAAAAAAAAAATCCGATTTAAATTTTAAAAGATAAAAAAATCACCAACCCTGAAGATTAACCCTTGCCAGGTATTTAGAGATGTGCCCTCCGGAAGCAGTGACCAGCCACCAACTCTGCTTTTGCCAGAAGCTGGTCAACCCGAGGACGAACCACCAGTGGTTCAAACTGAGGATGAACCCGAGACACCAGCTCCCTTCGAGTATTTCGGGTCAGATGACGAAGGACCTGAGCCACTGGTTCCCTTTGACGTTCCGTGGGACTATGAGGAGGAGCCTGCGTCCAACCATCCAACACCAGCGATGCGGCCTCCCCAGCCCTGCGATCCTGCACCCCAGCCCTGCGATCCGGCACCCCAGCCCAGCGATCGGGCACCCCAGCCCAGCGATCGGGCACCCCAGCCCAGCGATCGGGCACCCCAGCCCAGCGATCCTGCGCCCCAGCCCTGCGATCCGGCACTCCAGCCCTGCGATCCTGCACCCCAGAGCCCAGCGAGCCAGCTCACTACCCCTGCCAGCCAGCCCCCGAATCTTGCATCAACGTCAAGCCACCATGGGGAAGCATCAACTTCAAGCCACCAAGAGGAAAGCACCTACACAGCAAAGCAGCTGGAGGCAATGAAAGACTTTGCCCTACACGTGACCGATGAGCTCGGTACAAACGGCTTTCTATGGTGCATCCAAGCCCTCTCAAGGGATGCTACGGAAATCACGAGGGCTTCCCGAAATTCAAGAGCCTGGCAGCCTCCTTGAAAGCCTCATTCGAGAAAAAAAAAGCCTCGAAACCCCATCCAGAGCACCACTGACCCTCGACGACATACTCAGACTCAGAGTGCCAAGATTCACAGGAAAGCGAAAACAGAAGAAGAAGTTAACACCGACCATGCACTACGTGCTTAGTGGTGCTGAGCACAGAGAGGCGATTAAGCTTAAAGAACAGGCAAAACAGAAAGAGGAGAAGGAGAAGTTGGCGAGGAAGACGACAAGAGAAGAAAACGCAAGACAGAAGAGAGAGGACCCTGAGAAAAAGAAGTGTGAAAGGGAGATACCAAAAGTAGCAAGGCAGAGGAAGGCAGCTGAGATGGAACGTGAAAGACAAGAGAGAAAAGACCAGGCTGTGATGAAGAAGATAGAAAGGGAGGCTCAAAGGAAGAGAAAGCACAGTGACAGTGATGAAGATGATGATGGATGTCTGATGAAAGAGATGGAGCAAACGTTGAGAGAGGCTGACAAGGATGATTTGGAGAGTATGGAGGATGTGCGTGATGATGAGGATGTCAAGCGAGGGGAGGAGAGTTTAAACTGTAGGTGGCTTGTGAAACTTGCGATTCTTGGTGGCACACACGTTGCACCAAATCAGCTTGACGTCTTGATGCAGATGAGCTGAAGAACTTCCCATTTGTGTGCGACGTGTGTAGCCCAAATCAATAGTTTCATGGCCACTTACAGTGACAGAATGAGTGTGTGTGTGTGTGTGTGTGTGTGTGTGCGTGTGCGTGTGTGTGTGTGCGTGTGTGTAAAAAGATCCATTGTCAATTAGATACATATGTGCTTAAGAGAATGTATGCATGATACATGAGTGTGAGTTTGTGTGCGCGTGCGTGAGTGGATTTTTTTGGTGAGTGTGTGTTTGTGTGTGTGTGTGAGTGTGTGTATTTAAAAAGATCCATTGTCAATTAGATACATATGTGCTTAAGAGAATGTATGCATGATACATGAGTGTGAGTTTGTGTGCGCGTGCGTGAGTCAGGATTTTTTTGGTGAGTGTGTGTGTGTGGGGGGGGGGGGGGCTTTAAAAATACGTCCTGTGGAAAAATTTTTATTAAATATCTTTTAAATATGAAAATAATGTGTGTTGAGAATGGGGGGAGGAGGGGGGGGGGGATGCTTTAAAAATACATCCTGTGGAAAAATTGCTATTAAACATTTTTTGAATATGAAAATAATGTGTGTTAAGACTTTAGTGTAAAAGTTACAACGAGTCTGAAGTGCTTGAATGAGAGGTGTACGGTCTGCTGAAGAAGTGTACGGACCAATGAGAAACTTAGAAAAGTGTCCGGAACAGTGAGAAAAGTCGACATTTTTTTAGGATGGAAAACCCATCATGTGACTTTTATTAAAATAGCTATCAGAAAATGACATCATTCAGAACATAGACCAATCAACGTGCTTCACTACAGTACGTGCAGATCTGCCCTGACCCCTGGCTACTCCCACCCAACTATGATCATTCCAATGCAGCCTACACCAATTGAGCGGGATTTGGCGCAATACGCGGTAAGAATCAGCAGGGTGTACGTACCATTTCTAAAATCTCTATACATTGTTTAAATAACCCCAATAACTCCATTTTTAGAAAAGCTTCATGACAGAGTGTGAAAAGTTCTCATCTTTAGATCTAGATAAATAGTATTAAAAATCTCTAAGATTATGAAGTGATTTGCATTTGTTGGTGTATGTTACGACATGATAAATCTAAATTATAATGTTCAACATTATAACCATGTGCATTATCCTAGTTGAGCAACTCCCACATAAACATAGAGCCCTAAAACGTCTACCATTCTCTTCAAAGCTTTAAAGTAAGTCAGCGAAATATATATATGCTTCGAAATTTTGTTTGCTTCCATGTGTTCTTCAAATAAAGGCTTAGATTTCTATATAGAGCTTTCTTTCGACCAGTTAGATCTATCTCTACTTTCAATTTCCAAATTTGTGCAGGTTTAACCGATTGAAAAACTTTAAAACCCAATGCCGAAAAAATGACTTTTAAAATATTTGATGCACGATGCATACAATAAAAATAGAAAGCATGAACTCCTTATGCTAACAAAAGATGTTTAAATCAACTATGGGCAGCGACTGTAGTGGGGAAATAGTTCCATTATTACACAACTATTCCTAGTATAAACCCAATTTATTTCTTACAGTTTTTGTCATTCTTACTAAGTTATGCTATTTGTCCTTTGATATTGTTCTTGTTCACCATTTTAAGAATAAACCCAGTTTGTTTGCTTTAAAAGTTTATTTGCTGTTATTTGTATCGCCCCTCGGTATGAGCTGCCTGTCCGGAGATGTTTCTGCTGCTGGTTCATGACCTCTTCGATCACCTGCCTTTCCAGTCGCTGACACAGTTGTAGCCTTGATGTCAGAAAATGTGAGGACCGCAGACAGTTTCCAACAGTTCAGAAGGCGCTTTTTTTTACATGCTGATTGTCGCCGTACAGCTCATTCAGTACTTTTGTAATTTTTCAGATGTTAATGCTGAGCTACCTGGACCTCAAAGACGGTGATTTTAATATGATGGCTATCTAGGTGTTGATGTAGATCTAGCTAGATTTTATGGATTTATCCGTTTATTCATGGACATGAACATTGCCCAAATTGTGAGTGAGATGCATCATGGTTTCTTGAGAACATTTTCATTACGGTACATTTGTGGTTTCAAGAGTCATTGTTGTAAGTTTATCATGCAACTTGTAAATGGCAGTGAGTGTGTAGAGAAATTACTAATTACCTCTCACACTGATTATGGTGAGTGTGATTTTGTTGTATGTGTGTCCTGAAATTACCTTCTTTTTTTTTGGTCAATGTCTGTGCTCTATGCGAATGACCAGTATGCTTATATCCTGTTTTGTTGAGGATGTAATCCTGAATTCGACAGTGTTGTGCTCGAACCGTATAACTGGAAGAAATAGGTAGACCTTTTTTATCATTCAAGACCTTCGTGGAAGTCCACTTGCTGGTCCTAAACATGCTCTGTAGACAATTTTCTAACAGTACTGTGGGCTTACTTTTGTGTTTTCTCCTTATTCATAAATAGAGAACAGAATTTTTTGGCGTCCTGAAAACTTGGCAAGAAATCAGTTGCACGCTTAGAGCCATCATTGTTTTTTGTCAAGAACTGTTGATGCATTTATTGTATTGTTTCTCTCATACATGCATAAGCCAAACATGCTGTGTAGAGCCCAGAGGATCAGAATATCGCATTGTCGATTGTAAGCTAATATATCCTAAAGATAGTTATGAAACCTACTGAAATGTCAATATAAATATGTCTCTTCAGAAATGATATCAAAGAAGTCAGCCAGTGTATGCATTTTCTGCCAACTTGAAAAAAAGTACACATGTATTTTGTAATGCATTACAAAACCTGTTTGTAATTACAGTCTAGCACGTTCATAGCAAACAAGCTCATAGTGAACACATTTTCAGGTCCCAATTTGTTTCTTTATAGGCCTACATATATATATATATACATGTATGCCTCGCAGTGTGGAGGAATCAGGTGCTCGTCAATTCTTGGGCATGTGGAGTTGTTGATATAATCTTAAAGCTTGCTCGTTTGTCTAACTCTCGATTAATAAAATGCCAATCTAGGTCCTGTCGATATTTAGGATTGAAGAAGGTGGGGGCCGTCTGATGTCTGAGGTAAAATTAGTGAGTAAATGGCTGTCAAAGTTTAGTGACTTCCAAAGATGGAGTGTCCTTGTATACTGCAATTTTGCATTTGTATGCCTTTGGTCAACGTTTTTCAGTAACACTAACATTCACACAAAAACTTGTTTTTGAAAGAACATAAAAGGTGTTAAGCCAAAAAAAATTTATATAAAAATTACACAATGAGCGGAAAAATATCGGTTTCTTCTATTACATTATTTTGACAAGCGCCTGATTTCACCAAAATATAACTCATACACATGTATATTCTTTAAATTTAAAACCTATACTGCAAAATTCATTCATGATGAACTATTCCATGTCATGCTGATTTTTGCTATGTTTATGCTAAACTGTTGTTTTTATTTTTTATCATCAATTGATCAAAGGTACATGGATCTAGTTTTATTCAGAACCATATATTTTCTCAGTGCTGATACTTTGCAGAGTACAGGGTCTGCTCCAGCAAAACAAAGTTGAGGTTCTCTTTGTTTTTCTTGCTTATTTTTTATTTTACTGTGCTCCTATTGTCGAGACCATGATAATTCCTTCAATATTGCGTATATTTCAACATAAATATGGACCATGACATGATATTATTCCGATGAAATGGTTAGAGTTAGATTTTTCTGTAATAATGAACATTGTTTTTCCCTTTTTGAGAAAATTGATGTCAATTGTTATTTTGACTTCATGTCGATGAAGCATTCTGTGATATATTTTGTAGAACTGTACAATTAAAAGTATATTCATAAAGTTAATTCTATTTTGAACATTTTGAGGGGAAATACGATTTATCTCTTGTGTCTTAGATAAAAGTTCAAGGCTGAAACTGATCAAACATGAAGTGTAAGTGTGCGTACTCTGTGCTCAGACGCATTGCTTGTACATGCATACGTTTTTTGTTTGGTTTTTGTTTGGTTTTTTGTTTGTTTGTTGTTGTTTGGGTTTTTTTTGGGGGGGGGTTGTTGGTTGTTTTTTTAAGGGGGTTGTTGTTGTTGTTTTTTTGGGGAGGTGTGTGTGTGTGTGAGAGAGAGAGAGAGAGAGTTTTCATGTGCCTGAGTGTAATGTGCATGTGTAAATGAATGAATTTATATATGAGTGGATGTGTGCCTCTCTGTGTATGAATGAATTTATATGTGAGTGATTGAGTGGGTGTGGTGTCTATGTGAGTGAACAGCATGTGTATGTGAATGCATGAGAGTCAATGGCTGAGCATGAAGAAACCCGGTCAACCTGTTTTGATCTTGTTCAGGGTGTGCCACAAGGTTCTGTTTTGGGCCCAATTCTATACATCTACCGGGTACCACAAG